CATATTTTGTTATAGCAGCAGAAAGTAGGCTGATGCATTGCTACCCTGGCTGTGGTGTTGGCCCCCACCTGTGTACCAAGCCCCAGCCCCTGAACCTCACTCCCTCCCCGCAGACCCACCATTGTTAACCAGTCTCTATCTTAAACTCCTCAGGGTGTTACCAAAACAAAACAAACCCAGAAATGATGGTTTGTTCACACACCAGACTCATCTTGTCTTGTAGTTCTGAATCCTGAAATGTCCTGGATCAGGGTCCAGCAGAGTTCAGACTCTGGTGCTCCTCTTCCTGGCTCAGAGCTTCTTGCTGTGTCTTGCTTCCCCTGAGCACTTAGAGAGCAGGCCCTTATGTTTCTCACTGGGACTCTAATCACAGTGTAGGGGTCCTACCCCCTCAGTCATGCTGATGACCAGGGCGTCAAGGGTATCAGGATTCAGCCACAGCAGCCTTTGAGTCTGATTGATCCCGTCTTCCTTTCTTTAAATTAAGCCTTCCCTACACCTGCCTGTTCTCTCACTTGCTTTTCCTGACCAGTCTCGTATGTGGCTTCCTGCCAGACACCATGTCTCCTGTCCCTCTGGTCCTCAGTCTTAGTCTGTGACAGGAGCCTGAGCTATGAGGACTTCAGCCATGGCTTCCCCAAGACAGGCTACGCCTCAGTGATAACCCCACACTGGAATCCTTTTCTCTAGTGTTTTCTCTCAGGCAGAATCAAAGTACTATCCAGCTGACTGTATCCATTTGCTCCTGCCTGTCATGCTCCCACATCCTTCTAGAAGGTTCTATAACAAAAACTCTGTGTGTTTCCACAGGAGCCTTCTGTTGGAGCGTGATGCCTTGAAACCCAACTCACCCCTGACTGAGAGGCTCATCCGCAAGGCAGCTACTGTCCATCTTATGTAGTGACCCGGGCCAAGTCCTTGGTCTACAGCTCAGCAATGACTTCCTGGCATTGGGTTGACTTGTCTGGTTGGGTTAGGGTTTAGAAACAGAGGATGAGGTTCAGTCCTGAGCAGAATCCTCCAAATCAGTAGTTTGGTAGAAATAGGGGATACAAGTTAATTTTGAATGTTATTCGGACCTCTCAGGGCCAACATGCATTTTAAGCCTCTGGAACCCAAGCAGTGCTATTATTTGTAGATGCCTTGAACACTGGATTTTCTTGTTCTGAGGCTGGCAGTCAGAGCAGAGCTGTGGCCAGCTCAGCTGAGAGGTATAGAAATGCCTTCCACATATAACGGGTACTAGTGAAAGCTTTTCATTTATTTTTTCTTATTTTCTATACAGGTTCTGCTGTCCCATTTCCCTGGGGGTGGGGAACTCCAGTGAGCTGCCTGGGGTCCCATCAAGCAGCGGATTTTACCTTTGAGTGGGGGAGGGGACTCTGCTTCATTGGCTTTAGTTGTCAGCCCCAGACACCATCCTGCCACCATCCCCAAAGATGAGGGTTAGGATGGCTCCTGTGTCCCTGGGGGGAATTGGTGGTGCTGACTGGAGCTTCTCTGAAACTGCACATGGGAGTGAATCTTGAGGGGTGTGGCTTCCCTGGCAGACTTGATTCTGCTCCTATGAGTAGGTCTGAGCCCTGAGCCCAGAGCTGCTCTGCTGTGGCAAATAACCAGAACCCTGACATGGCTGCCACAAGACTTCAACCCATCTCCTGCTTCCGTGACTGGGACATCCTCCTGGAAGTGCTGGTGCAGGCTTGATGCTTCCTCTGGAAGGGCAGGTGCAAATGCAAAAATGTTCCTCAGGTCCCTTCAGTTCCCACTCAAGTGTGGATTGATTGGGCAGGCCTCCCAGGGGATACAGAGGTTTCCATACTCCCCAAGTTTTGCTCAGTCTGCCCAGACCTGGACAAATTCTGGGCATTAAAATCATCTAATTGGTTCCTGTGACTACTCGTACCTATGGGCACCTGTGAGCATCAATCTCCTAGGTGCCAGATTTGCATTGGGTTCTGGGGCAATGGACTACTCCTTCAATTATCAATGGAGGGGGCAGTAAGTCAAGAAAATGTCTAATTGCTGTAGGGTTTTAAGAGGTACTGTCTCTCTATCCAGGAGCCTGGGACCGGTGCCAAGGGAGGCGGTTCCTCACATTTTTTTATTACCTGAGTCCAAGTAATAATGATTTCCCCAGGAAGCAGAAGCCTTCCTCCCTCTTTCAGGGAGCCTGTCACCCTGGCTGTGGGCTGGCGACAATGCCTTCTCTTTGCCTGACGGCCCTCAGCACCTGCTCTTGCTATTACACCACTTTCTGCTATGATTTCTCTCTGGTCAGGAAGCGTAAGCTCTGTACCACCCAGCTACTCAGTGGCTTCCACTGAATCCCTGCCTGTAAAAGCTGGTGTGTAGGCTTTAATGAAGGAGGGCATGAATCTACCCAGGACAGGTGCTGGTTTCAAGTCAAAGTGTGTGTGTGTGTGTGTGTGTGTGTGTGTGTGTGTGTGTGTGTGTGTGTGTCTGTCTGTCTGCCTGTCTGTCTGTGTGTAAAGAGATGGCTTTATGGTTAAAAGCACTTGCTGCTCTTCTAGAGGACAAGAGTTCAGTTCCCAGCACCCAGGTGGCAGCTCACAACTGCCTGTAACTCCAGCCTCGGGGGATCTGACACCCTCTTCTGGCCACTGTAGGACCTGCATACCTGTACTACCTGTACATATTCACATCAAGAAAAAAAAGGAATAAAAGTATATTTTTAAAAGCCCAGGGGAAATGTAAATAGTGAATTATTAATTTAGGGGTATGCTTCACTGATCATCTACTATGAAGTGATATGATACAAAGAGAAGTGTTGGTGAACTTGCAGGCACTGGGACCTAACAGAAAGAGTTGGGTAAGAACTCTTGGAGCTTGGACCGTGGTTCTACCTTTCCTAGTGTGTGTGAGTCAGGAGAGCCTGGCTCTTACAATTCCAGATATAGTGCAGGTAACACGGAACTGGTCACAATCCCTGGCAGGTGGGAAAGTTTGGGCCCAACACAGCCAGTTTGCCTACTGGTGGGCAAAACCTGCAGAGAAGACAACCAAACTAGATCATCTCCTTGCGCCTCCCTCTGCCAGGCCACCCCTAGATTTCCTGGAGCGACAGACCTTGAAGCCAGCTTTCTGTTAACAGCTATCCAAAGGTTCCTGGTATTGACCACTAGGAAGTGCTGTGCCTGGCTCTGTCATCCTCACTCTTTTCCACTTTGATGAAACAGGGAGCCCAAGATCAGAGGATCTAGGGGTGTGGGTGGTGGTGGGAGGAGCAGAGAGGGCCAGCACATCAGAATACAGGAGTGAGGCCCCCGCCTGCAGAGACAGTGCCCGGACGCAAGAGAAATCAGGGGTGTCAAGACAATCACCAAAGAGAGTAGCGGTCAGGACGAACTCCTTCCTAGCTGCCTGACCATCCTCCATATCCCACCCTCACCACCTCAGCCCCGTTGCTTAGCACAGCCACACCGGAACGCAAATACACTCCTCCTGGGGGTGGAGGAGACTAACGGGAACTTCCGGTGGGAGTGTCTGGCGCCGAATGGAGCCAATCAGTGGCGTGGAGTCCCTGCGAGTGCGCATTGGTCTCCACGTCAGCATTCTGACTACAATTCCCAAGGTGCACCGAGAGCATCTCTCTGTGCAAATCGGCCAATCCGCGGCCGCGCGTTTAAACACGTGTGGGAGTACCAGTTGTGTTTTATGCCCACTAATTGAAAAGCTGGGGATAAGGAGAGGGCACTGGGTAGGAGAGAGTTGGGGACCAGGCCTCGCGCCGCAGAGGCCGAGAAGGACGGGCTGCCGGCTCTCTCTGCAGCTCAGAGTCAGGAATCCATTACTCGGTGTCGGAGCGTAGGCAAGCGATCCCTCCCCGTTCCTAGCAAGGGGAGTGACTGGGGCTGCAGGGCTGCCACTTGCCCTGCATGGGAACAAGGTGCCAGTTTTGTATATTTTGATTAGATTACGTTGGTGGGGTGATAGTTTATTTGATGAGTGCTCGCGTGGACATAAGTGAGATCCTAGGACTCACTATAAAAATCTTCGTGTGGTGGTGTGCACTTGTAATCTCAGCACTGAGGAGACAGAGACAGTTGGATCCCTTGGACTTGCTGGTCAGCCAGCCTAGCCTACGTGGTGAGTGCCAGGCCCGCGAGAGACCCTGTCTTTAAAAGAAAAAGGTGTCTGGGCCTGGCAGTGGTGCATGCCTTTAATCCTAGCACTTGGAGGCAGAAGCAAATGGTTCTCTGCAGCCGATCTGCATAGTGGATTCTAGGTCAACTAGGGCTACTCAGCGAGACCCTGCATCCAAACTAAATAAAAGTGGAGTTGTCCTCCGGTCTTCATGTGCATATGCGCACACACACACCAGTTAAGGAAAGTTGGAAACAATCCACAAGAGGTGGCTGGGTTGCAAAAAGAGAGGCCTGAACAGGCAGTGTGTGCTGAACTGGCCTTGCCACTTGGCCTGTGGGGGTTGATAAGAGTCTACGCTTGGTTCCCAGCAACTGGTTTCCACTGATCCCTCATAGCCTCTATGGGAGACTTGAGGTGCTGGGTTTTATAGTCTGAGCTCACATAGAGGTGGTCACCTTTCTGGTACTCTGAGCTACCTATTAGAAGTCATTTATTAAAGTTGTCCAAAGGCTACACCTACAGCAGCTGATTTGGGGTCTAGGTTGAGCCCCACAATCTTGATTGCTGCTCGCTCTCCTACCTCTCCTCTAGCAGAGGTTTGGACATTACATTCTAGACACAGTTGACCTTCCGTGTCCATGGGCTCCCCATCTGTGGATTCATCCAGCCAGATTGAAACTATTCAAAAGAGAAGTTCCTCTGTACTGAACACATACTGCTTTTCCTTGTCAGTGTTTCCTAAGTGAGTGTGATGGCATCCACAGCCTTACATCAAAATTAGAGTCATCCTGAGGTAATTTAAAGTCTGGGTGGACCTGTGTAGGTTCCAGGCAACTATCACACTCTTACATTTGGAGGACCCCTGTAGGTTAGTATCCACAGGGTCCTCAAAGCAGTGCTCCTCGGAGACTGAGGGATAACTGTGCTACTTAACTCTTTTCTGTAAAGGTAATTATTACTGAAGATTATTAAGATTTTTAAATTTTATTTTATGTGCATGAGTGTTTTACCTGAGTGTATGTACCATGTATGTTCCCGGTACCCAAAGAGGTCGGAAGAGGGCGTCAGATCCCCTGAAACTGGAGTGATAGATGGTTG